GGGGGGCGGGGACACACACGACCGGAAGTTAGGAGCGTTACTGGGAGTTGCTAAGAGACGGAGCTTACACAAGCCAGGCAGAGGTCCTCCAGCCTCTTTTCCTTTCTTGCTTTGCTTCAGCATCTTCCACAGTCCGGAAGTGACCATGTCTGACACCGAAGCTGAAACCTTGAGAAGCACCTTCCCGTCTTACATGGCGGAGGGCGAGAGGCTCTACCTTTGCCGGGAGTACTCTAAGGCCGCTCAGAGCTTCAGCAACGTGAGTGCGACTGGAAATCTGTCATCGCTCTGTCCTCCTCCTCCTCCTCTCCCTCCTTCTCCTCCTTCCCCTCCACCTTTTCCCCTCTCTCCTTCCCTTCGTGTCCCCTCACACACCTCTTTTGAGAGGTCTTGCTATACAGGCCAGGCTGTCCCCGAACTTGCATCCATCCCTCTGCCCACCAAAGACATACGCTACCATTCCCAGCTTCATTTATATTTGGAGACAGGATCTCCTTATGTCGCTCTGACCTGCATCTAACTTATAACCTCCTACAGTCTGCCTCCGAGTGCTGGAACCCCACCACCTGGCCTCATCACCAGTACTGAGCACCAGCAATGATGAGGTCCTGATGAGGCCTGGAGGACCCTTCTGTGTTTAATATTTCCTGGTTCCTGTGATACTCCACTAACACAGATAAGCCCTGTCCTTGGCCATTTTCCCTCATTTCTCACTTTGTTCCTCCATTCCCTGCATCCACAGTTGACCACTCACCATTACCCTTGACAGAGTAAACTCAGTTTCCCATCATTGGCTACAAATTACCGGAAATGCTAAATGTAGAAGGTATAAAGTTTTTGTCACAGCTTGTTTGTAGAAATCAGGTAGTCAGTGAGCATTATTATAGGAACCTTAGTAGAAATTGCACCATTGAGCTCTAAAGGTGTTGGGTGCTGTTTTAGGACACCAGACACACTACTAAACACATCTATGGGTGAGTACTATTATCACTCCATTTTATAGATGAGGAAATTGATATGAAAGTTGAGTAATGTGCCCAGGGTCACACTGAACCAGCACATGGTAGAGGAAGAATTCTCTGAGGCAGGCACTCAAACTCCAGTTGCCTGAGGTGCCAACCCCTATACTATACATTGGCATGTGTAAAGTGTTCTTATAACAATTTCCTTTCTGGAGCTGGGCATGGTGGCACATGCCTTTAATGGTGCAGCATTGGGGAGCCAGAGGCAGGTGGCTCTCTGTGAGACTGAGGCCATCCTGGTCTACAGAGCAAGTTCCAGCCCAGCTTGGGCTACAGGGAGACCTCTCTCAAAACAAACAAGAAGCAACATATTCTGGTTTTCTATGGTGCTGGAGATGGAATTCAGGGCCTCCCACATGGTAGGCAAGTGTTCTACCACTGAGTAGCGCTCCCAGCCCAGCCGATGGCCCGCTTGTTATTTCAAATGGAGTGAGTGGCAGTAGCAGGAAATGGTGGTACTTGAAATCCTAATACATAGGAGGCTGAGGCAGGATGATTTCAAGTTTAGGGTCAACTTGAACTAAATACCAAAACCATCTCAAAAGAACCAAACCATATCAGAACATGAAATGGAATGTCAGGATAGACCACTGAGCAATTCCAAGATTCCACAGTCAGGCTTTTCAGTAGCTCCCCAGAGTCTTCTGCCCCATTCAGTCACTAGCTACACCCTTAAATAGTGAGTTTCAGAGCCCTGCTCCCTCCCATTCTCTTCTTACTGGAGCATATCCAGACCTTCACCTATAGTAGAAGCTGAAAAAGAGAAGATTGCCCCAAGGGAAGGTAGCTCTGCATAAGCAGCCCTCTCATTCTAGGAGACTAGCTACTTCCTTTTCCTAGAAAACTAGGAAGGTCTCAGACTGGGGGAGGACAGATGGTACATCACAGCTGTGGTAATGATCTCAGTAAGAAGGTGACCGGTGCAGTGACACACGGGAGGCTGAGGAAGGAGGACCAGGAGTTCAGGAGCTGCCTCAGCTCCAAAGTAAGTTTGAGGCCAGCCTAGACTACATGATACCCAAACAAACAGGGCCAGGGAGATGGCTTAATGGATAAAGGTGTTTGCACCTGAGCCTGATGCCCTTAGTTTGATCCTCAGAATTCACATGTTGAGAGAACCAAGTCTTTAAGAATGTCTTCTGACCTGCACATGTGCACTGTTGCACTCACACAAGCACACAACATACATGCACATTCACAAAACAAAAATTTATAAAAGAAATTAAAAAAAAAAAAGATGACAGGATATGGGAAGGTGAGAGAAAGAAGTGCCCATCCCTGCTCTAGGACCCCTATAGTTTCTGTTTTCCTCAAATTTTCACTTTAATCCCCTGAAATAGTGGTAATTCTCAGTTTCCTACTGGATTACTTTAGACCAACTTGGTCTATCTACATAGCAAGTCCCAGGCCAGCTAAGGCTATCGGTTTTTTTATTTTGGGGGG